ACACACACACACACACACACACACACACACACACACACACACACACACACATACACATACACACACACACACACACATACACACACATATACTCTATGTCTGTCTATCTGTCTGTCTGTCTGTCTGTCTCTCTCTCTCTCTTTCTCTCTTTCTCTCTCTCTCTCTCTATCTCTCCCTTTAAATCTCTTTCGCTCTCTCTCTCTCTATCTCTCTCTCTCTCTTTCTCTCTCTTTCTCTCTAATTCTCTTCCTCTCTCCCATTCTCTCTCTATCATTCTCCATCCTTTTCTTTACTTAATTATTTCATTCTCTCTCCCCTTGTGTTGTTAGATGTTGATTGCAGGTGTATGTTTTTGTCAGTCAAGGTGTTTGTGTGCGTGGATTCTGCTTGTTTTTTAAATTAAGTTATTGGTTTCTTTTTTTTCCCCACAAAAAGTGTGAAATGTGAAGAAAGGTGTTATTGACTTCATACTGCTACACACGGAAGTTGATCGCAGTTAATTTTCCTTTTTTGGGGGGGTTTTTATATGTGTTGTATGACGCCTGCAACTGAAGACGGTCATATGTATGAGCGCGTGATTTTCCTTTACGTACACAAAATCAGTGGGTGGCTGGCGAGTGCTCTGGTGTGGTTTGCTCCTTCTTTCCTATTAAACAACCATCACTCTTATCTCTTTCCTTTTCTTTTCATGCTACTTTGTAAAAAAAAAAAAATACCAACTCCAGTCTACGGCGCTTGATTGACCTAATTGCGTTTGCAAGTGACGTAAAACGCTCACTAAAAGAAGACAAAATAAATATACAAAAAGACATACTATTGAACCAAGCGATTCAGTCAAATGCACAACATTTTTAAATACTGGCAACTATCTCTTACTTTAAGAAAGCAAAATGCTGGAATGTTACATCTTTCCCATGTTCCTATAACATGGCGCTTGGACCTGGACTTGACAAGAAAGAATAATGATAAAAATAATAGATAGATAGATAGATAGATAGCATTTGTATAGCGCAAATCCCCGTTAAACAGCAAGCTCTATGCGCTTCTCAATCTATACTATTACCCTAGCAGACCTGAGAGCATTCTGAAACAACCTCAACTTCCTGGGAAGCATACAGTGCAAGCAGCCATTTATAGGCGCTAAAACACGAACATATTGACAAGATCTTTAGCTGTCTATGGCCGGGTACCCATTCCCACCTGGGTGAAGTGAGGAACATTCATGTAAAGTACCTCCTTTCCCAATGACACAACGTCGGACCCGAGGCTCGAACCCCGGACCCCGCAGCCTCACGCTTACGAGTCCGGCAGCCTAACCACTAGGCAAACAGCGTTAGAGATATGGTGCAACTGTAGAATGACCAGAATAAGTTGGAAAACAAAAGAGACAAAGAAAGAGTTGTGTCAGATTCTACACACAAGACAAACCCCTGCTGAATGAAGTAAAATGTAGGAAAATACAATACTTTAGCCACTTAAAAACGACACGAGACCATTGTGAAAGAGGTTCTTGGAAGAAAGATGTGGGGCAGGAGAGCCAGAGGAAGGCAAAGAATAACATGGATGGACAACATAAGAACATGGACTGGCCTGGATATGGCAGAATGTGCAACGGCAGCTCGCAACCGTGAAGGATGAAGGGTCATTACACGTCAACTTCTGAGTCAGAGACAGGGACACACACA